GGGGGGGCAGCGGGCATTGTATAATCAATTGACAGGCAATTGTCACTGTGCCAGTAAACTTTTATTTTTATTTTAGATTTTTACCCTTTACGCTCAATTTCTTTTGACTTTTGAAGGACTTGGATCAAGATGAGGCCCCAATCGTGGCGCGAGTCGCGTGGGAGTTCAACCATAGCGACAACGTGGCAAGCGCTGCGTCACATCGCGTTGGAGCTGGGCCGGGCCTCAAAGGCCCAAAGAAGTCGAGTGAATCATTTGACTCTGAGAGGTCAACCTGACAACGAGTCGCAGGCAGCGAGCTTCTACGGTTCGCGAAGGACCAGACGCCGACTTCGGGTTCGAGGGAGAGAAGGGGATGGCGAAGCAGTGAAAGAGGAGGCCCTCTCCCCCCCTCCCTGCCCTGGCAAGCCTGGCAATCGAGGGTCAGCCCCCCCTCTCTCTCAAGAGCTGATCCTGGTCCCGCGAAGCCCTATAGGGTCAACAAGCGGGCCAGCAGCAGCGAGGCAGCGCGGTGAGAGGTCAGCGCCCTGCCCTGACACCTGGCGCCATCGGGATGCGCGATGCAGCGCTGCACACGCGTGTCATCGTTTTGGGCGAGAGGCTGGGACGGTTGAGGCCCCACGATTAGGTTTTTCGCCTTCCGTGTCTTGAAATGCTATTGTTTGCTTGGTGGCACATGGCCCGGTGGCACTTGGACGCCGAGCCAAGTGGTTCTTGCCCCAGCGGGCGGTGTTGATCTGTTTCCTAGCGGCAGGACCGACGATCATGCTCGGGACCTGAGGACTGTCCCGCGTGCCCGCCGGAGCTGAAGTGGAGGGGGGGGGGGGGTCAAAGGGTGCTTTGCCTGAGCGTCAGGTGCCTCCTGACCTGGGACGGGATCCTCTTGCCTTGGCTTGCCTTGCCTTGGGTACTGCTGCCGCTGCCGCCGCCGGCCGGAAGGCACCTACCTGCCTTAGCTCAGCTCCTGGCTCCTTCCTGCTGCATGTGTCTGCCCTGGGCTGAGATTTGGAGGGGGCAATTGTTCGAGCTGACACTTTCTCGCACATGTTGGGTTTCGCATCTCTTCTCCTTCTCTTTACTCTCCTCTCTTCCCATTCCCTCTTGTCTCTTTCTCCAGTGCCCGGACGAGATCCAGTACATCCCTCGACCATAGTCCACGGACCAGGTGTCACAAAACGTGGCGAGCTAAGTCCACACGCCTCGGCAGCACGTACCACGAGACGCTTGCCCCTCATCTCCGCCAAAGCTCCCAAGAAATTGCCCCGCCAAATCCTCTCTGACGTTTGACGTCCTCACGAAGAGAGACCACGATTGGCGCCGGACCCAGGCAATTGCTTCCTCGCCAACAACGAACCATCAGTCCTGCCACTCGCTTCACTGCCATGTCTCTCCAGGTCGACGATCGCGGGAGACGGACCCGCTCCCGTTCACCGGGCCGTCGAGAGCGCAGTCGCAGCCCGGCCGTGCCGCACGTAATGGAGGCACGCGAGCCGAGCTACGCGTACCCCGAGGACGATCTCGACGAGCGCGACCGATATGCACTCGCCCGGCGCGGCGACCAAGCAGCGCCCGAACCTCCCGGTGCCTTTCCAGGCGCACCTGGTGTCTCTTCCGCTGGCGGCATCCCCTACCCTGACGACGAGAGCCTCTTCCCCGGCAGCCGCTCCATGTACGGCTACGACAACCGCGCACCAGCGTCTCCCGGCTACGGTCGCCCCGTCTCGCCCGCAGCAGCTGGTGGTCCCGGCAGCTACTACCATGATGCCCGCAACCCTCGTGACCGGCCTGAGGAGCCTCGCATTCGCACGGCTGAGCCCAGGGACGGCAGGGATTCACGACCCATTGAAGACGACAAGCTCAAGTACCTGCCGCAAAAGTACGCCCGCCCCAGCAGCCGCGCAGGCCCTGATGATCGCGACCGCGACCAGCGTACTTCCCGCGCCAAGTCGCCACGACCCTCTTCCCCTCCTAGTCAATACAAGTACGCCGAGCCGCCGCAATACCAGTACGGCCAGGTTGACGACAAGAGCCAACGCGGTTACGAGAAGCGCAAGGATGAGGATGACTTGACCTATGGCGCAGACCCATACGCACGTCGAGACGCAAGCCCTAATCCGGCCACCAGATACTCTCAGGCCCCGCCGTCTCCTGGGCCGTCACGGCAGAAGCAGTATTATGGCGAGTCCCGGAGCGATGCGTCGAGCAACGTTCTGACCGTCGAGCCCGGCGGCGGTGATCGCCGAGGCGGCCGCCGCGACAGGTCACCCCAGCCGCCGCACCAGCGCATGTCTTCTCTGTCCGTCAACAACGCCCACGCCCCTGCTGCAGGCATGACGCTTGCTGCCGCTCCTGGCTCACCCCTCCTCGAATCCTACCGCGGCACCTACCAAGACATGTCGCCAATGCCATCACCTCTGCTGCTTGCTTCCAACGCCGGGCCGAACGTGATGGAGCCCCTCTCGCCCCTTGGCTCGGATGACGAGCGCGGCACGCGGAGACGCCGTGCCCGTTTCCATGACGATCCCGAAGATAACGCGACCCGCCTCGCCAACGCACTCAAGGGCACGAAGAAGGATAGCGCGCCTGACACGAACCCCCTGATCGAAATTTTGCCCGGCCTGAGCCACGAGCAGATTATGGAGCTGAGAACCGAGTACAAATCGATTGTCAAGACGGGCGCCGATCGCAAGGGCGTCAACATTGCCAAGCATATTCGCTCACGCCTTAAGGACGCTGATCCAAGCTTGATGAAGGCTTGCTATGCTGTGGCCCTTGGCCGCTGGGAAAGCGAGGCCTACTGGGCGAACTTTTGGTACCAGGGCGACAAGACGCGGCGGGAGTTGCTGATTGAGAGTTTGATGGGCCGTTCCAATGACGAAATCCGTCTGATCAAGGACTCGTTCAGCGATAAGAAGTACGACAATAGCCTGACAAAGTGTATGAAGACGGAGCTCAAGGAGGACAAGTTCAAGAAGGCCGTTCTCATGGTCCTCGACGAGCGCCGCATGGACGACGTCGATCAATATGGTCGACGTTTGCCTCTGGACTTCCACCTCGTGGACCAGGATGTCGACGATTTGCGCCGTGCAGTCAAGAGCGAAAAAGGCGGCGAGTCACTCATGATCGGCATTGTTGTGCAGCGTAGCGACGAGCACCTTCGCGAGGTTCTCAAAACCTACGAGCGTGCCTACCGCACCAACTTTGCGCGAGACGCGCTGAAGAAGAGCGGAAACCTTGTGGTAGGTACTCCGTTGTGACCCCCAAGGGCGGATGATGTCGTGTGTGTGATTACGGCCATGCTGACTGCAGAACTTCAGGGCGAACTCTTGGCGCACATCCTGAATGGCGTCATCAACAAGCCTGTTCGCGATGCGCTGCTGCTGAATCACGCACTCACAGCCTCGAAGCGTGACGGCTTGCGCAAAGACCTGCTCATCTCGCGCTTAGTACGTTACCACTGGGACCATGCGCACATGGAGGCCATTAAGCGGGCGTACCGTGAACGCTACCGCGTTGACCTGCAAGAGGCGGTCCGGGAGGGAACGAGTGGTGAGTGGGGTCAGTTCTGCCACGAGCTGTGCATCTATCGCATGCCGAATGATGTGAAGAGAGTAGAGAGGGTTCAGGTACGGTGAGAGTGCTTGACGGAGGACAGAAAGCAGAAAGGCGTTTTGACGTGAAATGAAGGACTGGGCATGTCGTAATGATGGGCTGCAAAGTCTCTCGAAAGTCAGATTAAGCCGGCCAAGCCGGAACAGTATTACAGGCATCTAACCCCCTGCTGGATCAAGGGTGGCATAGATAAGAACGAATGCAGCTATTCCCGACCCCCATCGTCGCCGGCCGGCCTTCTGACTGGGAGTCAGACTTCTTCTCTTGAAGGCTCCAAATCCGCCCAACGCACCCTTGATCTCGACCGTGGCGCTGCTCTTCGGGACTCCTCCTCGCGCGGTGACGTCGATACTGGACGCAACCGCTCAACAGAACCATCCCTAGGCCACCGATCAGGTGAGGCACCCCTAGGCCACCGACCGGGTGATGCATCCCTGCATTGTCCGCGCCTTGTAGCAACTAGGACTTCTCTCGCGGGAGCCTGCCTCGTCACCGTCTCCGTAACCCTGCTTGTCAGTCGCATCCCTCTGAGCACATGTTCACGTTCATCCTCGATGTTGCTCATGTTTCCGTGGTCGCCTGTCCGAGTTTTTTTGAGATTCTCCCTCGTCCTCTCCCTCCCCATCCGTTCTCTGTCCCCTCCGCCGCGGCAGCATGAGGCGGTAGGCCTCTCTGCTGTCCCATCATCGCGAGCCGTGCGTGTAGACTGATCTGCCCCCCTGGAGAGCAGAACCCCCCATCTACTGGGATCGCGCTGTCCCATACCCCAGTCAGCTCTTGATCCCTCCAGCCCATTTTCCTCAGGGACAGCATTCGACGGAGCAGGCGAAAAAAAAAAAGCAGAACTCACCTCGCCCGGATACCGCACAACGCCCTCAACCCGGCCACCCCAATCCCCCCTTCCGAGCGCAGGCGAGCAGCCAAAAATCCCCCTGCCCCTCCTGCTCTCCGCCGCCGGCATCCTGCTGGACCTTCTCCTGCTTCCGCATCCGTACCCGCAGCACGCATCGTCGTCTGCGCCACAGCTCGACCCGTCCTCGTCGTCCGACGAAGAGCAGCAGCATGAGCAACAACAGCAGCAGCAGCTCGAACAGGCCGAGTCTGAGGTCGAAGTGTCCGAGTCCGAGCCGACCGTCACGATGTCGTCTTCGTCATCCCCGTAGCCGGACCCGGCCCTGTTGTGGCCGCGGCGAGACATCGGCGGGTGCGAGACGCCTCGGGGCGGCGCCGTCTGCTGGAGGGAGGCTACCGTCTCGGCGACGATGCGGCGAATGTCAGACTCGGTCATGCTTGGCATCTTGGTGTTGCGCGGGGCTCGAGGATGAGGATGGATAGTTCACGCGGGGGGAAAAAGATGTGTATAGCATCAGGAAGAGATAAAAACCTCGTGGCAATCTAGACAGACGGCGACATGGCTGCTTGCCCCTCACCTCACTCAGTCTTGCGAGGCAGGCAGCCGGATCCTCCACCACACGAACTGGGCGGCTACCGGCATCCCATAGTGTAACGGCGAGCCGGCGAATCATCAACACATCTCGTCGAAAGGCACGTAGTTCAATGCTCTCATTATCCTGAATGATCATGCGTTGCAAAAATAAAACAGACGGCGCAACCAAGCAGCCGCCATGGCTAAACCGAGGCCCAAACCCGTATTCGTCTTGAGGCCTCAATACGCCGCCCTGCCTCCGTGTCCGGTCCAGTTCTCGCCCATGTTGACCAGGCCTCGAATGCAAGCCCCAAAAACGCCGGTAGACCATTGAACAACACCTTGTCCCCCCCTTTCAGTCGTACAGTTATGTGCTTCGTTCACCACTCCTCATCTTCTTACAGGAACCCCTTGGTCAGACTCGGCGCACGACTAATGCTGCTCTTCCGCTTAGGCACGTCGATCATGGAGTTCCTATCATCGTCGATACCAAAGCCCGTCCGCCACATGTTGGGTGGAGCACGCGTGCGCATGCTACCGCCCATGACGGACCCCATCTCCATCCTCATCGACCGTAGGCCTTCTGCCTCCCTCTCGAGACGCAGGGCTCTCTCCTTCTCCTCGCGAAGCTCGCGTTCCGCCCGGCGAGCCGCCAGTTCGATCGCAGACTCGGCCGACTGCAATTCCTCAATGGTCTGCAGCAGCTTGTCGACCTTGTCACGCATCCGCGAAACATCGTCTGATAGCTGCGAGTTTTGCTTGTCCTTGCGGTCGATCTGACTTTGCAAGTCCTTGACGATACGGTCAACGTTACGCACCGATCGTTGCGACTTGGACCTCGCCGTTTCCTGGTCTTCGAGTTGCGATTCCAGCTGTTGCAGCAAGCTCAAGTCAGTGTCCTGCATCGTTGGAAAATCTCTTTGGAAACATTGCACTCACCTCTTGGATACGTTTGTGCAAGAATTTGATGTCGTTGCTGGCGCTGGAGTACCCCTTGGTCTCCAGGTCAACGACTTTAATCTGCACCTCGTTGAGTGACTTCTCCAGGGCTGCCTTGGCCTTCTGCAGCTGGGCGCTGGTCTCACGCTCGACCATAGCCTCCTTCTGCATCTCAGAGGCAAGCGATTCAGCGCGCCTCATCTTTTCAATCGCTGCAGCTGTGATATCTTCCTTTTGCGCCAAGCTTGACTTGAGATCCAAAATCTCCTTGTCAGCGTTGGCCGCATCCCGGAGTGACGGGCTATCACCCTTGGCGAGATCCTCAAGGCCAGCCTTAGCCTCCTCGAAACGCGCCTCAAGACTGCGTTTCTCTCGGATGAGCAGGTCTCGCTCCGAGGTCACATCGTCGACAGACGTGCGAAGCGTCCGGACTTGCGAGAGGAGTGACACCACCTTGCTCTGGGCCTCGCCATGGGCGTTGACGGCTTCATCGCGGGAAGAGACAACGTCGGCCAGAGTCGACTCGAGTCGCGCCTTCTCCTTTGACCAAGTTGAGCTGTTGAGAACCTCATCATCCCACTTGGATCGAAGGTCATCCAACTCCTCCCTAAGGCGAGTGATCTCCGCCTGCTTGAATAGTTTCTCTTCGCGAGCTAGGTCAAGCTCCTTCGTGAGAGTCGCAAACTCGGCCTGGTACTTTTTACGTGTCTGTTCGAGGCTTGATTCCTTGTCCTCGATTTCGTTGGCTCTCTGGTTCCGGTAGTCTTCAAGCTCGTGTTGCAGTCTCTTCTTGGCTTGCATTGCGGCATCGAGGTCAGTCGACACATCCTCCACCTTCTCCTCAAGTCTTTGGCTCTGGCGCTGAAGGTCCTCGATGATGCCATCCATCTTCTTGCGTTCCGCCATCGCTTCCGCGCATGTCTCTTCTGCCTCTCGAGCCTGGGCCTTCGCGAACTGCTCAGCCCGGCTGGCTTTGAGCACAGCAATCTCTGCCTGCTCAAGCTTGCTGAAGTACTCGTCAGAGCGGCCCTTGTAGAGGTTGAGGCTTGACGAAAGATCTGCCAGCTTCGAAGTCTCGGTATCTAGGCGAATCTGAAGATCAGAGAACTCTTCCAGTAACTGGCTGCGGCTGGCGGCCTCTTGCTCTCTGGCCATGGTCATTTCTTGCAGGTCCGACTTGGAGTCGCGTAGTTGGACTTCAAGGCGGGCTCGCTCGTGACGCATCTTCTCAAAGTAGGTCTTCACATCGGTGAGCTCCGAGACAGCGTTCTTGTGGCTATGCAGCAGAGACCTTCGTGAATCCTCTTGGCTGTTGAGCACATCAAGAATCTCCTCATGTGAGCGGGTCTGGATGTCGCGCAGCGAAAGTTCTCCGCTACGGATGCTCTTTTCAAGAGCAGAGACCTTGGCAGTCGAGTCGTCGAGCATGCCGTGGAGTCTTGAGTTGGCCTGTTCCAGTTTTTGCATGCGACGCATGGAAGGGCTTTCGTCGGAGTACGTCTCTGGGACGGGAGTGCTGCGGTCCACTTGGCTCTGAAGATGACGGTTCTGCATATGAGCCAACTGTAGCTGATTTTGGAGCTCCTCGACCTCAGTCTTAAGATCCATACGGTTGTTGAAGCTTAAGAGATCTGCGGTGCGGTCCGAGCGAGCCGAATCGAGACCTTCATTATCAATGGGCGCGTGCCGACGAGTGGGAGTTGAGGTGTTGGAGATCTTTCGGGCGTGTGCCTTTGACCGCCTTTGCGTTGGTGTACCGGTGAAGGGAGCCTCATTAGGATGGATCTCCTCAAGCTTCGGCCGCATGGGCGATTCAGACCGTGCCGCGCGTAGATCGGCAAGCTGCGATTCGGCATTGGCCCTTGCTGTAGCTTGTACGCGAAGATTTTGCTGCAAATCCTCTACCTTGCGGACAAGGTCATAGTTTCGTGCAATATTCCGGTCTTGAGTGCTGTCATCCTGCATGGGAGGCATGGCATCAGGCTCCACGGTCTTGAGGATTTGCAACATTTGAGTACGCAGCTCCTCCAGCTCCTTCTCTCTGGAGTCCAAAGTCGATTGCAGCGTCCGAACTGTGCTTTGAGCTTGGCCACGGAGCTGTTTCTCCGAATCCAGAGCCCGGTTCACTTCGGCGAGTTGAGCAGCTGAGGTTGACGTAGCTTTCTCGGCATTGCGTGACTGTTTGGTCTCCCTGGCAACTTCATGGTTGAGATCCTCCACGTTGAGCTGCAACTTTTCTGCCTTCTTTTCCAGGCCAGCGATCTTGAGTTGCGCGTCGCCGAGTTGCTTGTTGAGCTTCACGTTCTGCTCCTCAATGCGGGTTTTCTCACGCTGCAAAGAAAGAACCTGCCCACGGGAAGCGTCGCTGGCCCTTGAAGTGGAGCGTGCGATTTCAAGACCTTTCTGCTGCAGCTTATTGAGTAAAGCCCTGTTGTCGTTTTCGGATGCTGTCAGTCGGCTTTTGACCGTGGTGAGCTCACGCTCGAGTCTTTCTTTAGCCTGGTCATTCTTGAGACCGAACTCTCCTGACGACAAGATGAGCTTGTTGAGATCTTCGACTTGGTGGTTGAGCTTTGCACACTCTTCCTCAAACCAAGTCAGACGTTCCTGGGCAGCAGTCAAGTCCCCGCGGAGACTCTCTTCGCGTTCCCGAGCGACGCGGGATGCGGCTCGCTCTCCAGCCACCTCCGCCTGGATACGTGCCTCCTCCGCTTGCGTCTTGGCCACTCGGAGACGTCTGATTTCCTGCCGAGCCTCATCTCGCTCTGATTCCGCCGTCGCACGAGCCTCCATGGTTCTGCGCAACGTATCTTGTTGAACATAGAGCTCCTTTTCGATGATGATCTTGGACTCGTTCAAGCCGTCAAATTCTTCCTTCAAAGCGTTGTACTTATGGTCGCTAAGCAGCAGAACGTCGTCACGAGACTGTCGTTCCCGACTCAGCTCCACCTGAACGCCATACAGCTGGTCCTTGAGATCCTTGATTTGAGATTCGAGAACTTGGCGGTTCTCGTCGGCCTGCGCGTCTTCAGAAAGGCGTGCCTCAAGTAGCTTCTTGGCGTCCTCGGCTTCTCGTTCGAGTTGCAACTTCTGCGTTTTCATAGCCGTGATTTCGGCTTGAACATCGTGTAGCCTAGCGGATATCTTTTCCTTGTCTGCAGCCATTGCCTTCTTCTGCTCTTCGAACGAACGTCGCTCCAGTTCATATTTCTTATTCTCACTTCGGATGAAAGTAAGTTCACTTTCCTTCTTACGAACCAGGTCTTCGTAATCGGTCGAGGTTTTGGAGAGTTGGGAGAGCTGCTGCTGTATGTTCCGGTTCTCGTGAAGGAGCTGCGACTCCTTGGATTTGGCTGATTGCAAGTCCTTCTGCGTCGACATGAGCTTGACGCCCAGGTCCTGGTCAACCTGGAGCAGTTTGCCTTCCAGGTCCCGAGCTTTCCTATCCTTGAGTGCGAGCTGACTTTGAAGCATCTTGATTTCATCTTCCAAGGCTGCTTCTTGCTCACTCCTTTCCGATTGCTTGTGGGAAGTTTCCTCGATGGATGCTTCAAGCTCGACAGTACGCCTGGAGAGGTGTGCCTTTTCATCCTCGAGACGAGCAATGAGCGAGGCAGCCTGCTCGAGCTGTGATCGATACTTTTCGACGTCCTGCTCAGCGAGTTTCTTGGCAGCGAGCAGATCGTCCAGTTGATCCTCAAGGCGCTCTTGGTCGTCGATAGCGCCTGCGAGCTTCTCCTCAAGTTCGGTTTCGCGCAGTTGCAGGCGTTTGAATATCTCCTCTTTATCAAGAGCCAG